TAAATAATTGAGGAGGACAGAAAAAATGAGAGATGAGGGAGGAGTGATGCTAGATGAGAATAAAACAAAGTTAAAAAATAAGGGGAACAGGGGAAGGGGTTTTACCTAGAGCAACCTTGGAGAAAGTTAAGACAAGCATGAAAAATGAGAAGCAAAATATGAGAAAAAGCAAAAAACAGAAACAAGAAATTATGCATACCAAGTATGAACCACAGATTCAATACTGTTTTCATGCTGTTCAGCAAAGATTTACTTAACTTTATGGAAAAGTAGCTCTACTGATGTGAAGAAAATCACTCACAAAGCCCAAAGGTGGATAAGCCTGAAATCCATTGCAAGGATCACGGATTTGCACTGATTTTATGTATGTTTCTGTCTCACCAAGTTCAAAGCAATAATCCTGATATACATGTGTGAAAGTGAAGAAAGCCAGTTAAAAGAAAACTAATGGAAATTTGGGAGAGTAGGTCAAACAATTTTGAAACATGAGAAGTACTTTAAGATCTTTTTTTTTCTTTTTTGGTATGTTGTAGTAAGATGTCCCGTCTCAGAGAAGCCACCAAGGCAGAGCACAGCCAAGCTAAGCCTCCAGGTGTTTCCCATTTCCAAGCTCTTTCCCACCTGAATTTAATACAGAAATTGTGTCTGTAGAATCAGGTACCCAAATTACCCCAGTGGCAAAGCTGTGTCACACAAACCACTTCATGTTATAACAATTACATTGGCACGAAACAGCCGAACACGGCAGCGTTCCTGCAAAGCACAGCACACATTGAGTACGTCTCATCATAAATACAAAATCACGAGTCATTCAAAACAGTTCATTCAGAGTCACATCAGAATAATCGAGGTAATTTTTAGCAGAGTAAATATGCATTTATAAAAATAGCTTATATGTATCTCCCCGTGCCAGTTGGCTGGAGCCCCAAGCCTTGCGCCGTGTGCGCCGACTCGCTGAGTTTAATCGGGCTCCGTGTGAAACCAGGAGTCCACCCGTGGAGAGGATGCTGTCTGGCAGGAATCCGGGGCACGTGTCTTGCCTTTTGTCTGCACAGCAGCCAACACAACCCAATCCCAGGGCCTGGGCACTACCCACGTATAGATTTTAATTACAATTAATGAGAAGCACTCACAGAACACGCGCATCAGGAGAGGATTTCCGTTCTTTGCACGGTCTACACGCATTTTGGTGGTGGTGGCAATTTCCCCTCCACCAGACTCAGGTTTTACGCTTATCGTTTACAAAATATCACCACAATTCTTACATTTAAGCCATTTGGGGATGAACAAAATGAGGGAGCCTCCAGAGTTGCTGGTTGCCTTCAGCAGCTGCTGAGAGAAAGTCCTGCTTCGTGAATAGTCTAAGTATGGTTGTGCCCACCTCCCTCACCAGCTCAGTTGGGTATATATCTAAGATGAAAGGAACTGATTTTAAATTAATTCTTAGGCTCTATACAAAGCATGATTGTCACCTTTTATATTAAGTATGATTCTGTACGTTCTTGAAATAGAAGAAATACTTTTCAGATCTGCATACATACTATTTTTAAATTCAAATAATCAGGTCCTCCTAAGACAGTAGATGTCTTTTGTTTGACGATGTCCTTAAGTAAATGGATTGCCTGGGCAAGGGAGAAATGAAGCGCTGTGCTCTCTCCACTCTAACCTTTCAGGCTTTGACGATGTCCTTAAGTAAATGGATTGCCTGGGCAAGGGAGAAATGAGCAATGGAGTGCTCTCTCCACTCTAAGGTTTCAGGCACCAGTAAGAAGAGTTATAAGCATCTTTTTAGATCCCAGCATGATCTGTCACTCAGCAAGTAGGGCCTGGCTGGGGGTCTCTGCTGCACACCCTGAGTGTGTTTCTCAAACAGCGTTGGTGTATTTGGGTGTGAGTGGAGGAGAATGGTAATGATGAAAGAGTAAATCCAAGACGATAGCTTGGGGATGCAGAGTACTTCTTAGCTGTAACCCAGGTTGGCTTCTATTAATGGCCATAGAAAAGGAGATGCTCAACAGCCTTTACAAAGACCATAACTTATTATTTTAAAAACCACAACATTAAAAGAAATTCCAGAGTGTAAAACTGATAGAGAAACAAAGGAGTATGGTTTTTGCAAGTGTACAGTGTATCAACAGCCCGGTGGGGGTTGCCTCTTTAACAGACTGCCATGAGTGACCTTAATAGAGCCATAAATCAATACGGCTACTTCGGAGGCTCTAGGGATGAGCAGAATGATCCGGCAGAATGTAAAATTATTAAATGACTCGAGTCCTTCGAGTCTTCATTAGCTGTTTTAATGATTTGCCTTAGAAAGGAACCGCCTATAAATATAATAGTCTGTAAAAGAGCTTGTTTACAGCTTTGCCTGTTTCCAAGTCAAACACGTAAAAATTGTGAGCTAGGTGTGGGAAAAGGCACTCCCAGAGAGTCCAGAAAAGCCAGGATTTCTCTGCTGGCAACCAGCAAGGCCAGCAGCACGGGAGGAAGTCTTTGAAATTTGCTGTAGCAGAGAGGAATTGATTAACTTTTCCACTTTTAAAATACATGACAAATGCTTGAAAATTGCTGAAACTTCAATAAAGTTATCATCAGTTTCCAGATGTGCAATGGGATCTCCTGAAAAGTAGAACGTTAGGCTGAACTTGGGTTTTTTGTTTATTTTTTTTGTTATGAATGAACAATTCATTATGCATCATAAGTGATAATAGACCTTGTAAAAGCTGCTGGATAAGCAAACTTAGAAAAGACCTCCAGCCTCCCAGCTACACATTGTCATTCACACTCAGGTCAGCAAAAGTTCAGGAAATTCCATCCCACCGTACAAGAGTTAAAGATGAAAAATAAAAAGAAGATACAGAAAATTAAGGAGAGACCTGATGAAGGCAAACCCCTCTGCTTTCGGTCTGGAATTAGGTTATTTTACACTGATGAAGAGGTTGTCTCCAGCTGTGGGTTACTATCGATCCCATTCAAGTAGATCAACAACTGCAGATTCTTTCCATTTGCACAGACTGATTTATTTAGAAAAAAAAGTCTGCTGCCACAAAACCAGCATTTTATTTAACACCTTTAGTTTTGTGACACGGTGGGTGTGCTTACAGCAGGTAGAATCTGACAAAACTGCATCCCCTGAACTGCAGATCACTGCCAGAGATGAACAAGATCAATCAGGGGGTGCAGTAGCTGTAGCCACTCAATTCTGGAGATGTTCAATATTCTGAGTGACAAAATGAAGCGAGGCTGCCAGAGGGAAATGACCCAAACCTCTCTGATTCGGCTCCAAACTCATTTCCTGGACCAGGCAGTGCCCAAGCATTAAGGCTGCTTCAGCATGAGGGCATGGTCCAGCCCATGGTGTGCTCAGCTCTATTTATTGAGTGCTGTTTTCCAAATTCCCATCTTTCCTATATTTTTAAAATTGCTTAAATTTGCGTCTATTTCCATAATGCATCCTTACCTGCCATTTCCTCAAACAGAAATTATATAATATTCCTGGTAGAAGTTAAAGTGAGAGAGAAGTTCTCCTCCTAATTTATTTCCAATAGCTCTTCTTTTTGTTATGAGTGTTTATTTTCTTCTTATGGGGTTTTTTACTATTTCTTGTTGATATTTTTACGGCATAATTCCTCCAATTTATGCACTAACTGAATACTCTGCCATAATGGCTTTGTAGTAAAAGCAGCACAGAAAGGAAGTTTTCCTGCAGATGTCTGTCTACCACAACACCCATTTGAATAGACCTTGAAAACATTGTTGTCTTACTTGTTATAGGGTAAGGCAGCCACAGGCACATTATAGTTGCCTTTTCAATCTTTAGATTGAAAGACAACAAGTAAAATATTTCCCAGTTCTATTTCCCAGGCAGCTGTGACTGCAATTACACTTGGAGCAGATTGCTTTCACATTTGTGTCTCTTATTGTCAGCAACATATCAAATGACTGGAAGGATTTAGGCAAAACCAATAAAATTGATTAGAGTCCTAGAGGGGTTGACTATATGTGCCCAGTAACTATGGCCAGTCACGCACGAACCTACAGAGACCACACCAGACAAAGATCTAAGAGGATAAACTTCAGTAAACTGGAGCAAAAAGGAGAGGTGTCAGGATGCTCGATGTTAAGATGCATGATTCCTTGACATGTGGTCTCAGGAGTGGAGACAGGAGCCCCAGGACAGGGCTGATCCAGCAGCTGGGAGCCCACGTTCTCCCCTTGCCGAGCCCAGGGCCACCAGCCCTTAACACCAAGCCCAGGCCCTTGGGAGCCACAGCACCCCATGTGCCCAGTCCTCCTGGTGAAAACAAAGCAGGTGTTGCTTGTTTCTTTTAAAAGAAGAGAGCAAGTACTGTCTCCACCATTTATTTTTTTCCTGCAGGATGTGGCAAGAGACAGATTTACTCAGGGTATGAACACCACCAGCTCAATGGCCAACCATGCCCCGAATGTCCATGAGCGACCATGCTCAGCTATGTTTGTCCTACCTGACCCTTCCAGGCTAACAGCTTTACTGGACTTTTAGAAGCTGTTTCATTTGTCAGATTTATTTCATATATGGTGGACTGTTGCTATATTAAAAGGAAATAATCTACAATTGGAGCCAAATTTTAAATTGAGCATCTGTAGAAGTTGGCAAATATCTCAGGAACAATGGGAAGAGGAACACCTAGTTTTCTGATCTGGTTTAGGCATAAAATTTCTGTCTGGCCTTTTCAGGAGGAAATAGTTACAGAAATATTAAGGAAGAGAAGTTGACGACCCAAGCCAATGCCTGGGAAGTTTGTGTGCCTGCAGGATTAGAGGACATGCACTTCTTTCACACTAATGTGCCTTCATCCCAGTTTGGATTTGGGTTCATGTGCTGTGTCCAAAACTTCTACATCCTGATCCTTAGAGATCAGCCAATTATTAGCTTTAAATTCCAACCATGTCAATAAGTGATAAGGTCATTGAGCCCACGGGATCATGCTGATCCCCAATGCTGAGCTGCTGTATTTCAGTTGCAGATATCCTGAACAACGTCACAGCAAAAGGCACCGTCACAGCAACTATCGTGATTCTGGTCTTCAGTTTACTGGTTTCCCTTCTGAGTTCTGGATTTACCTGCACTAATGCTGTCAGTAATCCCTACCAGACGTTCCTGGGACCTATCGGAGTCTATACCTGGAATTCCTTATGCGGTGAGTAACACGCTCCGTGCTGACACCTTTTTACCCACCACATGAACAAATACTGTGTTCTCATGTATTCCAAGATAAGAAATCTATATCTAGAAAAGGAAACACTTGGAAAAGTATTCTAGTCCTGTTTTTTAACTGTGACTGCTGGAATACCTGGAAACTATCTTTTAAGTACCAGAAAAAGAGTATTATTGACTTGAAGTGGCACCAGTGATCAGTAAGAGTCTGGATCCACTGGCAGCAAAAATAGAAATGAAAAAGCCCCAACAGGTGTAGCATCATTTCATGCCTGATGCACATTAAGAAGAACAGAGTTAACTGGCAAATACACACAAAAAATGTGAAGTAAACCCTCATGTTGATTGAGGATTGTGGTTACTTTTTACAGCCCTGTAAGTGCTATGACCTGGAAGTCTATTTTGCCATGGGCATATTTTTATGAAAAATCATGCATCATTTGATGTGTATCTTGAAGGTTCCTAATTCTGCTACCAGATGGCCTGAAAGCCCAGTGTCCTCCTGCAAAAACCTGAACTTGTTTCAGAGGGAACATGTGTAGGACGGTGTACCCAGAGGGAAAGAACAGAAATATTTTCAATAACGTTCAGAGATTGTGCCTCCGTCAGCACCATGAAAGTGAAGATGTAAAAGTATTACTTAGCTAAATGTCAAAGTAACCGAACTCCACTTATATTCAGAAGGAATTTAGGAAATAGATAGAGATCTAATAAGACATCTCATTTTGGCTCACCACAGAGTCATTGAATAATTCAGGTTGGAAAGAATGTGATGTCTCTAAGTCTAAGCTCTTGAGCAAAGCAGGGGCAACCCTGAATGCAGACCAGGGGTTTATCCAGCTGTCATCCTGCACACCCCATGAATTTGGGCTCACATCAAATACTCAAATCACCAAAGGGGTAAATATATTATATGCATCAGCACTAAATTCAATGAAGAAAAATTACATTAAATGGCCTTATCTAAGAATAGTCGGTGAGAATCCATTACATTTAGCAGAAGATATAGTTGCCAGTGTCAAAACACCCATCGGATACTATTAGATGGCACAAAAATTCTTTAAACGCCCTCATATTTTACTAATGGAAAAATATTAGATTAATCTTTGTCCAAGTATTCCAAGCTGTTTAAGTAGACTATTTACAAGTAACTACATTTAGTACTACAGCTTCACATCTAACATTCGCATTTAAATCTTCTAGGAATCTTTGTACTTCTAGCCATGATACTTTTTCCTGTGAACGTAGAAGGAAATGGCCTGTCTATAGAATTGGCCCGTGGATGTTTTCCTGCTCTGCAGACGCATACCGAATCCAAGCACACGTATGGATATTCATATTGGATCATGCTGCTCATCATTTTTCTGAACATTGCTTCTATCATCATCATATATTTCTATGACCACGCAAGATATTCTAAGAAGAAGGAACAGGAAAGACCCATTGAAAACGCACCAAAAGATGTCATTTTGTTTTAAGGATACCACTGAAGAGGAAAATGACTGTTTAATACGGACAATCATGGCTGATCATTTCCAAATTGAAGCTGTGTGTATAGTTCAATTAGCAAAATACCCTATTTTGTTTTCAAAGCAATTTGATTTTATCTTAGGTCTTAATGTAATACTTACAAGTTTCCATTGGTAAACGTGCTGCTTAAACACCTCCTGAGTAGATACAGCCTGAAGTGTGTGATGCCATCACCATCCTGTAGGAATGGAACTCATGCACCTTAGGGCTCTGCTCTTCTCCAGAGGGATCACTGTGAATACACCTCCTAGAAGGGTTACTCCTCTCCGTACCACCACCCTTCCAAAAGGACTGCTACCTTCTTGCCCACACAGCACAGAGGGGCTGGTTCCCACCACCTTCTTTCTGGATTTTCTGGACCACAGGACAGACTGGTGGTGGCCGACCTGGCTTTCCACAGGTTGCACCACCATCGGGACCTAGGAATGCATTGCTGCTTTGCCCTTTGAGTCTGAACAGGATGATCAGAGACATTGTTTTGGTTGTGTATGTGATTTGGGATCTCAAGGGGCAAAAATAGTGCAAACACCAGGAGCTCTGGGGACCACAAGAGATGGTCATTAAGGTATCGGTGTTTTGTTTTGTCCTGCAATTCTTACTGCTGCCCCTTCCCTGCTTAGGGATCTTCTCCCACAGGTCCCTATGGCACTGCCCTGGTGTCCAAGGGCAGGTTTGCAGCCTCCTCTCCATCAATAAGAGCGTGAGCCCTTGGAAAAACTCGCTTGCAGTCAATCACCTTCACATCAACCCTCCAGACAGCAGGAGCACTGACCCTTGTCCAGGCTTCCATTTCTGGCTGGGGTGGAGACAGGGTAGCATGAGGATGGGCCATGGCCAACACGAGACAGCAGAGGAGCCAGTTATTAATCTGTAGAAATATCAGCAAATGCTTTTCCAGGCTATTTATGGACCCTGAATTACTGTCGACAGCAACGGGCAGAGCTGCACCTTGAGCAGGTGTGGCCATCACCTTCCCACCTGCTGAGCCAGACTTTGCCCCCACACAGGTGCCATGGAACGGGTTTTATTAGCAGCGAGTTACAGCCAGGACACCCCTCTGCCCAGTTCAATTAGTATTTAATACACACACAAAGACACACTACTGTAGAGCTGCACAGAAGTGGGGAGCTCCCTTCCTGTCCCCCCTCCAAGGGAAAGCGCAGATGAATCTGACCTGGGACAGATGCCATCGTGCAAAATCATCCTTAAGTGCCTGTGCCCCAGGAGAAGTGCACCATGCAAAACAGCAGCCAGCACCTTCTGCTCCTTCACTCCTCACCTCTGCAGCCAGGAGAGCAATTTTTTTATTGCCTCGTTTTCCTTTACAATGTGATTTTCAGTCATGCTCGGTATCTGCCCTATGATGTAAGATATGCTCATGGGGCGGGGGGGAAGAAAAAAAATATGCATTTCTCAGGAGGGCACAAGAAGACACAAGAGACAACTTCCTACTATTTATGTCAAAAAATAAAGTTTCGGGATTAAAGTGCCTTTATGCAGCTGTGCTCTTTCAAAGGAATCAAAGCAGAGGGATTTCCATCCTGCTTCAGCATTTCACAAAGAGTTTGGTGAGGGCCGAGTTGGGGGGGAAATAAATAATAAAAGAGGGTTTGTAAGACTGGAGGGGTGGCACAGGTCACCACAATAAGAGATGTTATCTGCTCTGGGGTGCTGACAAGAACCATGCCTAGAAGGGCTTTCCCGCGCAGTAAACATTGCCGTTGAGCCGTCGGATGCCGGGAGCGGGGCTGGCAGGGAGCCAGGCATTCGCCAGCTCTGCTTTGCCTGCAAAAATTTTCACATGGTTTCAGCAGGCATCTGTCACTGTGGTACCCAGCCAGCATCCATCACACCCTACCATTACACTTATCTCAGGCTCACAGAGAAATAAAGTCGCCGAAATAGATTAAGTCCAGAGGAGAGGGGCCTCCTGCTTCACGAAGTGGTGGCTCTCCATCGCTTGGAGATCTCCACTGCACTGAAGTGCTAATTGCTATAGAAGAGTCAGAAAAAAATCCCCACATTCCCGCTTTTGTGTCCCTGTCTGAACCACCTGGCTCTGTTAAAAATCAGTCTGGAAGTCCCAAGGGACCTCGTGGTCACCTGCTGACACCTACGGTGTGGAGCAGCCGAGACACGTGTCCCTGGAAAGTCACTGGGTAGCAAGAGCTGACCTGTGTCACTGGGAACTACAGAACAAGTTCATCACAAAACTAAAAAAATATCAAATGTAAATAGTAGTTAAAGTCATAGGTGGCTAACAAGGCTACCTTGATAGTCTCAGTCTGAGTGTTTTATTTCGAATTAAAGACAAGATTTTCCTTCTCAAAATGACCCCCCCCCTCTGCCCTACGCTACATACTTTCTGCTTTGAGCATCCTGGTCTGGTGGGAGGTGTCCCTGCCTTTGGCGGGGGGTTTGGAACTGGATGATCTTTAAGGGAACTGCCTGGATGTGGAAAATCATGCTTCAAGTTAAATCACAAACTGTGGAAGCTCTGGGATTACCTGTCTCCCGAGGAGAGAGCAGAGTCCCCAGGAGCCATCCAGGACAGGACTCGGGATGTACAAAGAGGAAGGCAAAGCATTCAGGTATCCATTTGTGAACCAAAAATCTCAATAAGAAGGGTTTGTGCATCTGAGATACAGCCACTTCCACCAGAGGAAGAAAAAAAAAAAAGATAAATGGAAAAAAAAAAAGGATGCAACATAATCCAACCTTGTATTTAGCTTTTAGGATATCAAAAAGGAATTGGTCTGGCTCTTGCCTACCAGACAGCCTTTGAAATGAATGGAGCAGTGTTCAGTACACTTATCCTCTTAATGAGGACAAATTCTGGCAGTTTACCCTTAGGTAAAAAGGAAGAAAAGCTTGCACTGTCAGCTTGATGCACTCTTGAGAGAAAAATCAAGCTCCCACCTTATCTAAACCTGGGGTAATTTTACACATTCATCACTTGCCAGTAGTTGAAGTGTGTTGCTTTTCACCAGGAGCTGTGTCTGATCAGGTCAAGGGAAGGATCCAGGCTGAAACCAGCTGAAAGATGAATGCTCCCCTCCAGCAGCTGAGGTCCCAGCTCCAAGCTCGTTGGGGCAGGACACGTGAGAAGCTCCCTTGGACCTCAGGTTTGAAAGTGGGTAGAAAACACAAAACAGCTGGGGTCCTGCCCCAGCACCCACTGCAGCCCTCAGGGGAGATCAGGGCCCCCCAGCCGGGTGTCCCCAGCACCCCAGGGACAGAGCAGAGCAGGATTAATTCTGCCTGATCCACATTCCCTGTTTGTGACACGCTTGGGAGCACCATGACTCCTTGCCAGGAGCTGGGCAGCTGGAAAGAAACAAGAGAAGGATTGTCCAGCAGCTCCCCTCTGCTCCTCACCCCCTCCAATGGGCATAAAAATGGCTCTATTCTATCTTTTTCTCCCCAAGGAAAAACCCAAGGAAAAACCCAAGGAAGCCCCTCACTCCCAATCCACACTGACATATCCATTTTGGTTGCTCTAACCAAATAAGTTAGATTCTTGGATGCTTCTACTGAAGTGACGACAACCGCAACATCTAACAGAATTTAAAATAATGATACACAGCATTATTGGGCAATACTTTCCCACCTCAGAAGCTCTGCTTCCTATTTACGCAAGATCTGTTTCAGCTTTATGGTTCACTGAAAAAGTTTCACACTGGCTGAAAAGTTACACCAAATTCAACAACTGCAGAAATGCTGAATAAAAGGCAGCTTTTTCCTTTGAAAACACAGAAGATCCTCAATGCCCGGTAAATTATCAGTTACCTTGATGTTTAGCAGCAGCTGAAAACATTTAATAAGACACATTGCAAACCTCACAGCAGGCAAATGCAATAATTTTTGATGTAGGCACATCTACTTGACAGCACGGCAGAAGCTAGTTAACTTCACAATTATAGAAAAAAGAGCCAGCACAGCTTTGCTGTTACCCACAGGCAAAGAGACTCAGTCAATAAAACCAATCCCTGTCCCCCAGGAGCTATTCTGCTAAAGAGTCATCCAGCTCCTGCTATTTAAAAATCTCTGCTGGTAGGAGAACTGCCAGATTTAACAATCGATGTTCTAAATCGAGCACAATATCGCCGACACACTAATGATTTTTTATTAAAGGAATATCAGAGAATTTAAAATAAAAATATTACTCTTACAACCCTGTGGCATGTTGGGATGGTGGATGAAAGGGATCACCATGGGGCAGTGTCCCCCGCACCCCATAACACCAGCTTTTGTCCCATTGACTAGGTCCAAAAAAGCAAGATTGCAGCTTTTTCTCTGGGTGTCCTCTCCTTAGGTGGGACAGCTACCCAAATGCAAGGCAGCTCAAGGAGTTTTGGTGTGAAAACCTCCAGGAGAGCTTTAGACAGACACACACACGTGAGCGTTTTATTCTCATGAAAGCCAAAGTGGTGCCAGCACCTTTGAAAGGTGCCAGTCAACGGCTTCCTCTTTCCCTTCCACCTCTCACCCATTAAAACCTTTGCTTTAAAACTGTGACTTGGGTTTCAAAAAGCCTCATTCCCCCTCCTCAAGAGCGGGCACTAGCTGGTAGTCACATTTCAGGGATCATCTCATCACTCTCCTGTCTACTAATTTATCTTCTAGATAAGAATTGCAACAGCATTCCTTGGGGATGTCTTTAAAGCTAACTTTTGGCGAGGATAATGTGGTACCTCCTCATATTACGACTGCAAAGCGGTTCTCTGGGGGGGCAGCTCCCCCAGAGAAAGCCAGGAGCAAGGATCTGGCATGAGCACGGTGTCTTGGCTGGGTAATGGGGATGGAGGCTTTTTCACAGAGATCAAAGTGTCAAAACTTAGTTCAAAGGAAAAAATTCTGCTTATAAAACAGAGCCCAAGCAGGCAGTGAAACAGGGACCTTCCTGCTCTCTGAAGAATACGGTGATTAAGAACACCCACAGCTCTTCTTCCCAGATATTTTGCTAAGGCTAAAGCTTTACCCCATCCTACCAAAAGGCAGAGGGGAGAGCTGCCCCCAGGGATGGAGCAGCAGGCACCCTGACACTGCTGGGCAAGTTGTTTAACACCAAGGGCAACGACTCTGCACAGGTGCCACAGGCTTTTGATAGTTCACAGCCTGGTGGTCTTTTTTTTTTACTTTATTTCTCTGGGCAAGTTGTTTAACACCAAGGGCAACAGCTCTGCACAGGTGCCACGGGCTTTTGATAGTTCACAGCCTCATGGTCTTTTTTTTTTTTCCTTCTTTTTTTTAACAAAGCAGCTGCAAATCATTGTACATTGAAGAGATGACTCAAAACACCATTCTAGGTGACAGGATACAGGTGGTGGTGACAGATATTTCTCTAAGCAATCCTGAGGCACCTGGTTATCTCAGGGCAATGAACTCCAGGCACTAATGTGCTTCTGCTGCTGGAGGAGCACAAGGTACCTGCCATGGTCAAAAATGACCTCTTAGAAGAAAAGGAACTGAAAACCAAAGAAAACCTGACTGTTCATCTGGGGAACCATCAGAGGGCAGCAGCCTCCTTCCTAGGCCACAGCCTCATGGTCTTTTTTTTTTTTCCTTCTTTTTTTTAACAAAGCAGCTGCAAATCATTGTACATTGAAGAGATGACTCAAAACACCATTCTAGGTGACAGGATACAGGTGGTGGTGACAGATATTTCTCTAAGCAATCCTGAGGCACCTGGTTATCTCAGGGCAATGAACTCCAGGCACTAATGTGCTTCTGCTGCTGGAGGAGCACAAGGTACCTGCCATGGTCAAAAATGACCTCTTAGAAGAAAAGGAACTGAAAACCAAAGAAAACCTGACTGTTCATCTGGGGAACCATCAGAGGGCAGCAGCCTCCTTCCAGCCTTTTTTTTTTTTTTTTCCCTTTTTTTTTTTTCCTGTTTTGTTTGCCTTTGAAGGGGAGAGTGAAAGAGAGAGGAGGGAAGAGAGACAACTGTCTTCACTGCACATGCAAAGGCAATACCATATATCACCTTCTCCGAGACACAAAAAAATACCAAAGAAAAAACATTACCCAAACTGCACGTTAATTTTGGGTGCTCTAATTGGCACCCTACATTTGTGGACAACCTGAGAACGAGCACAAGGGAAACACCTGCTTTTCTTAGAAAGAGATTAGAAAAAAAAATGTGAAAGTTTAATTTCCAGTGTTTTAGAAATTTTCTGAAACTATCCCGACCCAAGAGATTATTGGTTGGAAACATCACCAGCCCTTATCTTCTGTTCTCTGTTTTGGATTTGCTGGTGATCAAAAAGTAAAAGTCAAATAATCTTCCGTGTTTCCAAAGTTTCTGTCAAGTTCCAAGATTCATCTGATAGGTTTTCCTTGATTATCTATGATGTATGTATATAATTCTGATGTCATACATCATTTAAAGGAACAAATTACCCTAAAACACATTATTTAAAGGAAAATTTTCACAACTACTTTGACACAT